CGGGTTAGGGTCACTATTTTTTTTCCCGAGTTATGACGAGTCGGTTAATAATAGGTCGGGTGATAAAAAATCATAAAATATCATTTCAAATTAGGAAAATATAATAGGTCGGATGTAGAATATTTAGTGTGGAGGGACACTAAATAAAAATAAATAAACAAAATGCTTGTATAGGGGATTGAACCTAAGACTTTTAGTCCAAACTCAATGCATTACCACTATGAGTCTATGACAAAGCTAATTTTATGTTATTTATTGCATTTAAATTGTAGTTAACCTAAAAATTTACACATTTACTTAAATAAAAAATTAAAAAATTTGGGGGGGCCGGTGCCACCCAAGCCCCTTCATAGATCCGCCAATGCCCATGCTTGTTCAGAGCCAAGAAGTGAAGACAGATTTGTGTCCATCGTTGTACATTTGACTAATCATTAAAATAAAACAAACAAAAAAGCTATATTGTAGTTTAAAATCCCGGTGTCATTAAAGGTTATTTGATAATTAAAAAATAAACTTTAACATATTAAAATAGTCGTTTCGAAGAATGTATCCCCTAATAATATATTTTTAAACGTCCATATTAAGGCTAAAATCTACCGATTTCTATTACATTTTTAAGATCTACAAAATTTACTTTGCATGCCAAATACTATTTGTGGGTGTAACAAAAAAAGGAATACCATAGAACATAAAATAAACATGTAAGGGTGGTGTGCAATATATTTATTGGTAAGTGGTGGGACCCGTCTTACGGCCTATAAAGGGAAGTACTCGGTTGCTAAGCCCTTCCCACATATAAACTCCTCAAAGTAAAGTAGATCCTCTCCCCCTTTCCATAAATCATTCCAAAAAAAATTTTAAGAAATAATGTCAGACGAGGTTCCATACCCACCTGGTTTCTATGGTGTGAAACCGGAAACAACCTTTCACTTGTTCAAACACAACGACAACCCGACTCCCCAGATGAACTTCAACGACTACGTTTACTTTTTCAGCGACACTAGTCGGCTTACCACCAATGTCATTGACACTGATATCCTCAAGGCTATTATCGCCAAGCCTGTTGAGAGACAGGGGATGCTGAACAAGTTGATGATGATCAACGCAGTGGGCGATATCGCCCCGGCACATCTACCCAACATCGCTGATGTGGTTGGATGTGCCGGTGTGTAAGCAATTATCAGGCAACCTGGAGGGGGTTGAGACAGTTGAGTATGAGGGGGCAACACCAATTATTCCGAAGTTGCTGGTTCAAAAGATGGACCCCAAGCCCATCATCAGGCGCAGCAGGCCTATTTACACCATACCCGAAAATTTCTCCTGCGAATTTGGGTGTTACACTGATGAAATTATCTATTTAGGGGTTTGCCATATTTTAATTTATGCACTTAACCCGGTTTCGCGCTGTCGCATATGATTTCTAGTAGGTAATGTATTGACATTTATTATTGGCTTTTCTTAGGTTCGTTCCTGGATGACATGCCTCACTTTCACCGTGTTCAGCAACCAATTCATGGACGATGATCCTTCTAGTCGCCACTGCACAGTTCGACTCCTTACTGATGATGAAGATGGTTCAAGGAAGTTGGAGTATGGAACAAGCGTCATTCTCTGGAATGTCCGTAGGTTTACCAGGCCATCGTTCAAGCCGCACTTTCGCGAGGCGGTTGCGACCCACAACTCTGCCCTGATGATTCTGACTCAGGTTGGGGTGCAAGCAATTAATTTCACCAGGGTTATTGGGTCGCTTGGTACGACATTGAACTGGAAAATAGATGCGGGGTTGGGGATGCATGGAGGAAGCACAATCTTATGGGATCCAGCCAGGTAGGGTGGTATGGTGCATGTGGTTGAGTCTGCTTCTGGCCGCCTCCGCGTGGTTGGTACCATGAGGACGGTTCAAGGAGGGCAGTAAGTTCAAAGGTAAATAGCAAACAAGCATTTTAATTCCATGTAAAGATCTTATTATTAAAGTGTATTGTAAACTAAACCAATTAATTACGTACCTTTAATTTTTTTTTGGTTTTTTGAGTTTTGGGTTTTTTTTTTTAAATTTTTTTTAAGGTTATATTGTTGTCAGTTAATTTAAGTCAAAAAAAAATTTCCTTGTTTTTTTCCTTATAATGTTGTGAATTTATTTTAATAATTTTTGTTGTTTATTTACAAGCTGGAGGTGTCGCACTGTTGCAAGCAGGAGACGGCTGTAGTATTTATGTTAAGTGTTAGTCATGTATGATATGTTAAGTGAGTTTAGGAGGTTCAATTTGTGTTGTTGTGGTGGTGTAGCAGCTCAATTAAGTGGTGTATCAAACCACAATATGTCCAGTAGTAGACGGTATTAGCTGTAGGTTGTTCTTGTAATCGAATCATGTCCTGGGTTGGTCCCAGCTAGTAATATTATGTTGCTGTATTTGTTTAATTTTAATTTGGCCATGTATTTACATATACTTCTTTGTCATAAATATTGAACTTAAAGGCAAGGCAAAAACAAGTAACTATTTGTAAAGATAAGGCAAAAATGATATTATTAAAATTAGTACACGAATAAAAATTAAATACAACTACTGAATAAATTGGGCTTACCACCAGCAGTAATTTAAGTGAAATTGATCTTGTTGGTAAAATTGGATATAGAATATTGGGACAAATATAATTATAAGAACAACATATGTAATTTTTTTGCTCATAACAATATGGACTACTTGGTTAATTTGAGTTTTTATGTATTTTATTTTATTTCATTTATTTTGTTTTTTTTAATAACTTAGAGGGAAGATGGGTTTACACGGACATTCAAATTTTGCAACTAATTTACCAACCTCCACACGCTTGAAGTTATTTATAGGGTAGTTTCGCAACCATAAATTGTACTTCACCAACGTCAATTAATAATTAATCCAACATATACAAGCTTCAAACCAAAACAATTAAAGATACATAGACGACCTAAACCGAGTTTGCAACAATACACTGTTTTCATTACCGTCACATGATTACAATCAATAAGTACCCTAAAACTAATGAAGGCAAAAGTGATCTTTATTTTCTCATGTGATGTACCTAAAACCCGCAATCCGATTGCAAAGACCCGATCTTGATTTATTCATCTAATGTACCTAAATTGAAAAAATGTCTTTTAAAACAAGGTTAACCCGAATCCGATTGCAAACACTCAATCTTGTTTTAATCAACTCATCTAAATTGATAAAAGTGTTTGTAATTGTTTTTTTCTTAAAAATAATAAAATACGTTTAAACCAATCCTTTTGTGAATTAATCCAATTACTAGTTAATTTTTTTTTAAAAAAATTAGAGTACAATCTTTCCAACTCGTACTTTCCAACCCCAATTACAGATACTCATATGTGACCACAACTTAATAATACTAATTCGAACCCATTGTAAACCGTCTAAACATATAACAGTACGTTATATAAAAAAAAAAATTGAATTTAAACAAATAGCAATAAATGGGCCCCATCCATCACCCCCCCACGTGGAAAAGCAGTTGTAATAAAGATCACAATATACTAGTAGTGCGGATGACCATTTTTCATGGTGTGTGGGAGCGGGAATTCCCTACAATTAGGCAAATCATTTGGTGCGTTAAAATGTGTGAACCGCGCGGAATTTTCCAATCAATATAAAACCCTCACTTCGTGGGAATACAGTCCTATTCCACCTTAAACATACATATCAAAAAAAAAAAAAAAAGCCATAGCCCTAGATGAAATTGAAATACCGGTGAGATGTATTAGTAGTGTTGCTCCAAACAAGTCAGTTGTAACCGTGTCTGCGAACAGAAAACAGTTTGTGTGCAACACCAACAAGGTGATTCCCTTGCTGATTACTCACACAAATTCTTTGCAAGTTCAGAGGCGACTACCGCAACCAATTGGTGGAAGCAGCTATAACGGGAAGGGATTCATGGGGGAAATTAAGTCGTGCGTGCTCAGGGTAGGGGGAACAGTCCCTACCCACCTACTAACAGCGCGTGAGGTGGCACAAACCATGGCTAGGGGATCAAGCTTCAAGGGTGACATTCTGGTGATACGAAAGGGGAACAAGGTGTCCCCTGCGCATCTACCAGACCTTTCAGACCTAGCTATGCTCCTCGCTGCATTAAAAATCACGATTCAGTGGGTGCTTGACCATGATGGCGACAATGAGGGAGACGGCTACGAGCACGTCATCCCCAGGTCTATTAAAAACATCATAGACCCCTGCTCTGTTTTGCCCCATATTAGGGAAACTTGTAACCTCATCAGTGGTGACCAATTCCTGTGTACACATAGCTATTCAAATGATGTCAAGCTAATCAATGTACGTGGTAATTGTGTCTGTTATGGTCTGTCATTTGTTTCCAATATGGTGACAAACAACCCATTAGACGGGAGGAAAATTACTACAATGTTTCAAGTCAGTACCAAAGATGGCAATCAAGAGTCTGTAAGAATGGTGGCATGGAATTGTTGTGATATGGCAAGGAAAACATTTATAGGAAATTTCAACCATGTTATTTCAGTCCACCTTCCCGACATACTGATTCTAAGTGAGACAAGGGTATCAGTAAATATGGCAAGAGTTATATGCCAAGGCTATGGACGATTTATAATTGGAAGGTCAAGGGGTGGATAAATTGGTGGATTTGTTGTTATTATATTCGCTAAGGGTATCCGACTTCACCTACAAGATCAAGACAACAGAGGATCTCGTTGGGCTATTCATTGTAGTTATCAGATTCAGCTAGATTATTAGTTTACCCCGATTTTTGGTTCAAATATGAAAGTGAAGTCATCAGACTCAAAAAATTTCATGTACTATCTCGGTAAAAGAATGTAAACCGCTCATCTCTCTTATTCTCATATGCATTTAAACCGACTTATGTAGACCCACAATGAGTTCGACATATTTGACATAGGGCCTCTCAGGCCTTTGCTACAAAATCACCTGAAAATTTTACCCTACACCCTAGTGTAGGGTGTGTTCCCTACACCCCCCTATGCTACGTCGTTTTGTAGCTGGTATTGAGTTCCCTTTTGCGATTCTTTCCTTTTTTTTTTTTTTTTTTTCCTTTTTTTCTTTTTTTCTTTTCTTCCTCTTTTTTCCTTTTTCCTTTGATTCTTATTATTCAATTTATGTATATATATGATTTTAAACCCTATTTTTTCTCTCTCTTCAATTGATCAACCAACCTCCATTTTTGATCTACATTTTTCTCTCGCTAATTCATCTTCTTCATTTGATTTTTTGAACGAATTCGTTAATTGTTACCGATCATCAATGGCGAATTCTGCATCTGGAGATTGCGTTGATTTTGATCGCGATTGCGAGCGTGTGTTTCCTTCTGGACTTCGTTTCGTTGATTCGTTTGTGCAACAATGTGAGTAATTGTGATCATAATTTTTCAATTTTTAATTATCCCTAATTTGTTCTGTTATAATGCTCTGTTAATTTGAACTTAATTGATGTATTATTATTCACTTTCGATTTTTGAATTTACTACTTTGATTACATTATGATGAACGTTTTTGGATTGTTGTACTTTGTATGAACATTTTGTTGCTTCATTTGTTGTTTCATTTGTTGTTTTCTCTGTGTTTTAGAATTGTGTGTTTTTGTCGTATATTTTGTAGATTATACTTTCAATTAATCGTTTATGTTTTCTTATTCATTGTTACTAATGTGTTTATGTTCAGTCTTAAAGTCATTTTTGATCATTTATTTTTACATTTTTATATCGATATTATGTGTAGTGGTAAATAATGAAAATATTGTTCAAAATATTATGTGCTGAAATTCTTTTTGCAATTGATCATGTGCTGTTTTGATATTGAACATTTTACTTATTTGTTATTGTTCATTCATGAAACTCTTTATGATCATTTATAATTGTATATTGTGCAGTGGAAAAAAATGATGATATTATGTATTTAGAAGCAGAACAGTCTGAATTAAAGGATAAAGAATTTAAATCTGAAGATGAAGCTTTCGAAGCGTATAATGAATATGCTTTTAGGAAAGGTTTTGGAATTCGAATTGGGAAGAGTAAGAGAAGAAGAGATGATTCTTTTTTGATGAAAAGATTTGTTTGTTGTAATGAGGGATTCAAAGATAATAAGTGTAAGAATAAAAGGATTTATGAGAAGTTGGATCATCGAACTGGTTGTTTAGCTTTTGTGCAGTTTCATATTGATCATTTAGGGGTCTATACATGTACAAGACATGAAATGGTTCATAATCATGCTATGATTCCTCCTGAAAAAAGGCATTTGATAAGGTCTCAAAGAGATGTGAATAAAGAGCAGCTTCTTTTCATTTCAACAATGAAATTGAGTGGAGTCAAAGTTACTGATTCTTTGAGGGTTCTAAAGAAGGAGGTTGGGGGATCTCCTAATCTTTGTTTTACTGCTTCTGATGCTTATAATGCATTGTCATCTGAAAAAGCTGCCCAAATTGAAGGATGTGATGGTAACCAATTGATTAAATATTTTGCCAAGAGACATGTGGATGAGACAGATTTTTATTATGATTTTGAACAAGATGATAGTGGTGCTTTAGTTAGTTTTTTTTGGCGTGATGGTAGGATGATGAGAGATTATCATTACTTTGGAGATTTGTTGGTTTTTGATACAACTTATAGAACTAATAAATATGGAATGATATGTGCTCCATTTGTTGGGATGAACCATCATGGTAACAATGTCATGTTTGGTATGGGTTTTATTCTTAATGAGCGCACCGAGTCTTTTGATTGGTTGTTTGATACATTTTTGCACTCAATGGGGAGGAAAAGTCCCATTACAATTATGACTGATCAAGCACAAGCGATTGCAGCGGGTATAAGAAACATTTTTCCTTCAACTGTTCATCATCGTTTATGTGTATGGCATCTTGAACAAAATTCTAAGAAACACATTGGAGCATTGAGAGCTTTGGAAGGCTTTACAGATTTGTTTGGATATCTTTTGAAGTATTGTGAAACTCCTGCTGAATTTGAATATTTCTGGAAAAGGTAAATTATTGTTTTTTGTATTTATTTTTTATTTTTATCATGTGATATATTTGATTATTATGTGATATATATATGAACATTTAGTGTTTTACATATGATCATACAATTTACTTTGTTATGTATGTTATCATAATATTATTAGTGTCCATATTGTTTATGATCATTATTCTTTACACAAATGTACATATTTTAATTTATATTTTGTTCATTTTTAAATTAATATATGATCATTTCTGTTATACAGGATGTGTGATAAATACAAATGTGAAAATGATGATTGGTTATGTGATTTGTATAAAATAAAGGAAATGTGGTGTCCTGCTTATTCTAAGAAGTATTGGTCTGGTGGTATATTGTCTTCTCAACGTAGTGAAACTACTAATAAGTCAGTTTCACAACGTCTTAATAAGACTCAAGGTTTATGTGATTTTTATCATGTTTTTCTTGATGTCATTTCTGAGTGGAGAAGTAAGGAAGGTGCAAGAGATTACAATACTCTGAGGGGTAATAGGCACCTAGCTTTTGCTAATATTGGTATATTAGATCATGCAAGATCATTGTACACTATTCAAGCTTATGTTCTTTTTGAAGAGGAGTTCATTAGGGGGACAGCTTATGATCATGTTGATAATGGTTTGCGTTTTCCAGAATATTCATATCTTCTTTGGAGGCCTGGGAAGGATATAATTAAGCATGAAGTTGTTTTTAATAAGGAAACACATGCAATTTGTTGCACATGCATGTACTTTAGTGAGACTGGTTTACTTTGTTCTCATTCTCTTCGAGTATATCATTTGCATTGTGTGCGTAATATTCCACAAGAGTATATAATGAAACGATGGACAAAGGCTGCCATGTGTAGTCATGGTATTGAAGAACCTACTTTGAGGACAAATGTTGTGGCTACTAGTGTTTGGAGGTCACAAACAATCAGAAAGTTTGTTAAGTTGATAACAAGTTGTCAGAATTCTTTGAATGCAAGGGCAGAGGTTGAGTGTTATTTCAATCTGTTAAAAGAAAAGGTTGAGAGTGTATCAGGTGTAATTGACTTTAGTGAACCTGTTAAAGAGGTTGAAATTGTTGATCTTGAGATCAAGAATCCTCCAAAAGCTAGGCCTAAAGGTGAGAGGAATGTAAGGCCTAAGAGTACCTTGGAGAAGCAGTGTAACAAGGCAAAGGGTAATTTCAAGAGGAAAAAGTCTCTGTACACTCCTTACAAAAGGGGTATAGGGCAAGCAGTTGTACAGGTATATGATCATTTCATATTTTCAAATTGATCATTTCAGTTTTCGTAAATGATCATTTATGTTTTTTTTTTTTAAATAGGAACTTGATGAGAACGGTTGTGCTGTTACTTATGCTAATTCTATTAGTGATCCCATTGAATTGATTGTTTTGAGCAATAAACGGGCTCAGGTAAATTCAAATGTGCCAAAAAAAACATTTTATTTATATTTTATTAATATTGATTTTTATAATTTAAAAATATAGGTCGGCTTAAAATCAGTTGTTGTAGAAGAAATTCCTTCTAGTTCTAAGGAATCAAATCATAGTATTTCCAATGATTTTGATCAGGTATATGAACATTTATGATCTATATTATAATTTTTTTTTATTTAATTTTTTATTTTTTATATTTTTTTTTGGTTTTTTTGTAGGCTACTGGTGAAAGCTCTCTTTCATCTATCATATCTATTGATGTTGATATTTCATCTATTGCTAAGGTTTTTTTTTTCCATATTTGTTTGTATAAGTGTTTGTAACTGATCATATACTGGTTTATTAATGATCAATTTAATTTTTTTTAAAGGCGAAGGATTTAAATCTTGAAGGTGTTTCTGCTGTTCAACCTTGTTCTAATTTTGGTGCAAATAAAGGTGCTTCTGGTGTTAAAACTTACTCTCAAATTAATCCAAGAGTTCCAATTCATACTAGTGCGTCAACAAAATCTCCTGTTGTTATTCAACCTACTGTTCCCAGGAATGTTCAAAATCAAACTCAGAATTGTTCAAACACCAATCCAGAAATGATCATATCCAACTCCAGGAATGTTCAATCAACAAATGTTCAAGTTATTTCTCCTACGGTTCAAATAAATGATCAAGGATTTCCTGTTCAGAATGTTCAAGTTACTCCTCCCACAGTTCAAAGAAATGATCAAGGTGCTCGTGTTCCAATTCTTCAATCAAGAAATGTTCAATTAGGTTCTAAAAAGATTTCTTCTAAATATGATAAGGTGTTTCATGTACTCTGCCAATCCTTTTAACTGATAGAAAAAAGAGTAAAAATTGTTTAGAAGTTTGTATTGTGATGAAGACATGAACAATTAATAAAATATAATTGATCATGTAGTCAACTATAAATGAACATATTATCTCACCATCATTTTTGGTTGTTCTTCATATTTTGCTTGGACTGATACCTTTTTTGGTAGTTTTCTATTGTCAATTATATGAATTTTGTCTTCTATATGATTGACGCACAACAGAAAAAAATGTTGAGAAGTTGATACTGGGAAGAAGACCTGAACAAATTATATAATGTTATTGGACAATATATTGAAGGTAATTGAACATTTGTATTAAACAAGAATTAATACCTGTTTATATCCAACAATGCTGTCAATTTTATTCAACTTCAGTTCATTGTCAATTCTTTCTATGAAGGCATTAATTCTTGTCTTCATTGATGATCCTTCTTGACAAACTCTATTTGTGCACATAATGTGCTGTTGAAATACAAACAAACATATAGAAGTTAAATGAATTTTTAGCAATTATTTATCATAGGAAAATAGAATCAATAATATAAAAAAAGAAGAAAGACTAACATGAAGCACTGTTGAGAAATAAATCTTGTTTCTCGGCTTTTTATGATTAAGAAACCTTGCCCATCCATCTATGACACAATTTGTCACTTCAACATCATCTCCAAGAGTTTTCATTTCATTTCTATTGATGAGATTCAAGCCATCATAGTATAAGAGTGCACTGCATTATGAACATTTAATAATATGAATGTGAACATATTTTTATAAAAGATATTAAACCTTAAGTTTAATTAGTGTAAGTAATTACCTTTCATCTTTTCCACCAAGAGCAAAGTCTACTGCAATTTGGTTCATGGCTTTCTCATCTTTAAACAGATCCTTGTACTTGACCAAGTAAGGAGATCGGAAAGCAGGAGGAATTGTTTTCTTTTCGCGTTTTGGTCTTGTTGTTCAATATAAAATATTGTTAAATTAAGAAAATTATGAGGAACATAAATGAACATTTGAGTGTATATAAATAAATTTGAAATTATACCTTTCAACCTTTTCCTTTTCAGTTTTTTTCTTCTTTTCTGCAATTGACTTTTTCTTATCATCATTCCTGGTCATATTACATAACACAAATGTACATTTAGGTATATGAAAATGTTCATTATTATTTTTGAACATTTACTTAATATAAATAATGTACCTTTTTGTGACTTTTGAGGATGAAGCAACAATCTTCTTGTTTTCACTGAAAAGTGAAACAATGTCAGTACATATTAATAAAATAAAAGCTTCTTATGTAACACCCTGAATCATTTTCAATTCATAAAATGAAAGATATTGATTTAACATAAACCTATTGATTTAACATAAACCATACATTCATATTACATATTCAACAAAATAATGTTCACACATACAATAGTTTGAGAAACACCAGTTTCAAGTTACAACACGATAGTAACATAAGTTAAATTGTTCCATCTAGATATTTTATCCTACACCATTACATAACCCTAATAGTAAGACATGTCTTCAGGATTTTACCCCTCCACTTTTTCATCATTTTTTGTTTTTTCAAAAACATCTTCCTTGTTTTGTTTTCCACCTCCAACTGTGTTTTTTGGATCATCACTTTTTTCACCACCATCTGACCTAGGGTCAGCATCAACCACTGAACCAGATCCTGCATCTAAGAAAAAATTTAATTAGATATAATATAATTTCTTTGTAAATGAACATTTGAGTATTTATAATTGAACATTATACCTGTTCTAGGCAATCCTTCATTATCTGACCTAGTGTCAGCATCAAATTTTGAACCAGTTGCTGCGTCTAACAAAATAATACAATTAATAATGAATATTTCTTGTTTGTAAATGAACATTTTACACTTTTTAATTGAACATTATACCAGTTCTAGAAAATTCTTCAATTCTTTGTTCTGAAGCTGCTGAAGTTTTACCCACATCCTTTTCTCCAGCTGTATTATAAATCATCATTTTGGAGATACACTAAGTTAATAGTATTTACACATAATAATTAGAAATGAACATTTCTACTTAAGTTTATGTACATTATTATTAAATATATGAACATATTACCATTTGTTGAAATTATTGGTTGTTCAATTATATCACCAAGTGTTGAAAAGGTGGGCCCTGTTTCTGTTTAGGACAATTTAGACCACAAATTTAGAATTTTTCATATAAAAATTAGGATATATAGTCTCTTTTAGTTAGAATTTACCAATGGCTGGAGAAGGTGGAGTCAACCCCAAGCTGAAAGCTTTTCTGATGTCATATTCTTGTTCTTTTTCCTTTCCCTTTTTGGTTAATTTCTTCCCAGTCATTTGCTTCTCAGTTGTTTGCTTTTCAGACCCTTGCATCAGATTCTTCTCAGCTTGTGCAAGTGCATTTAGGAAATCCTCACTGCCAAAGAATTCTTCATCTTGGCTTAGAATTGATGGTTCCCTAGCTACCACCTTTCCTAAAACTTCATCAACTTTTTTCACCAAGTCATTTCCAGGGAAGATATCCTTTGCCTTCACCAATTTTGAAGAAAGCTTTGACAGGTTTGAACAAGTTGTTTTTACCAGGGAAACAAAATCATCCATAAAAACCTATATGAATGAATATTAAAAATTATGCAGTTGAACATTTCAGATTATACAAATGAACATTTATGTTAACAAAAGTGATCATTTTATAACCTTAGGACTTTCTTCAACTTCTGCAGCAATCCTTGGTAGAATTTTCCCTCTCCCAAATCCCAATTCTAATTCAATCTTCAACCTCTCAAGAACCATGTCTCTATTCCATGCAGATATGATAGGAATTTTTCTTGGAGGCCTTTTGTCTAACCTCTGAACTCTATCAAAATAGAACAACTACAAGAAAAAAGAAAACATGGAACAGAACATAAACAATAAAAAAAAAGTGCATTTATTTAAATTTAAATGAACATCTTGTATCTAAGAATATACCATCAGAAATTGAAGAGGGCCTTTGTAGAACCCCTTGCCTTGCTGCTTTCTCCAATCAACATGACATTTGATAAGTGAGTCATATACAAACTGACACCAGTTCAAATTTTTTATGTTTTCTTTGTCCATCATAGAATAAAGAAATTTGAAATGGCATTGATTGTTTGATACACATTTCATCAAGCAGTTCACAGCCACTGCTAAAAAGTTAGTAATGAAATGTTCACTTGGTGGTCTGTTGTTGGTGAATTTATCATTTATGTATCCATTCACAATCTGCAAACAAAATGAACAAAACATTTATACTTTTGATCATTTAATGTATTTAAAATGAACATTTAAAACTGATCATACCTGACTCACTGATGGAGTTTTTCCTGACCATGATTTTCTCCATTTCTTCAGAAATTCTGCATACTCCTCACTAATTTTATCAGACTTTGGCTCAACAATTGGAATTTCTCCTGTAGGCAAGCCATAAACTACCCTAACATCCTCTACCTCAATTTCTATTTTTTCATTCTTTGGTAGTTCAAAACACTGGCTATTTTCTTCAAAACTTCCCAATAACCAGTTACAGAACTTTTAATCAAGTTGAGGTAAACTAATGTCAAGAAGTGATCCTAACCCTATATCAATAATTTGTTGTTTTTGGGTAGGTGTCATCTTTTTTATCCATGCAATGAACTTCACATGTCCTCCTCTCTTTGAAGATTTCTCTTCCTCAAATTCATCTTCCTGAATTTCCTCAACTTCATCAGTTTCTATTGCTTGAACCATTTCAGTTTTCATTTTCTTTTTTCTCCTACCTTCAATCTTTCCTTCATCATACAGTACCATCTTTTGCTCCTCCTTTTCAACCTTTGCCTTCACTGAATTCCCTTTCTTTGCCTGTTTCTTCCTTGGCTTTACTTCTTCCTCTTCCTCCTCTTCCTCCACCTCATAATCATCCTCACTGACAGGCTCTTCTTCTGCTCTATAAACTGACTCTTCACTATCATCATCACTGTCAGTAGAACTTTCATCAGTAGGATCTTGAGAGGGTTCATCTGATGGTACTTCTTGTATTTTTTTTCTCTTTCCAGCATTTCTCTTGGCAGGACTGACATCTGAAAATTAAATATATAATTTTGTTTAAGTATTGAAAATGTACAGTAAGCAAATGATAAAATGAACAAAATTGTTTTCTCAAATGATCATTCTATATATAGAAATTGAACATTTATAATATATCATTATATACCTGCTTTTCTTTTGCCAGCAACCTTAGAAGTTTTCTTCACTTCTTCTAGATTTTTCTTTTTCCCACCTATATATTGAAATTGAACATTAATGATATACCATCATAAATGATCATTCTATACATTAAGATTGAACATTTACCCTTTTTGCCTTGGTCTGGAGGATATTCAGCAGGAGCACCTGCCATTTTTTTTATTGGAGTAGGTGCTGGAGGTGGTGCATCAGCTTCCTTTTGAATAGGAAAATTCCTTGTAGACATTCTTCTCTTCTGTCCTATTTTTGCGGTTTCTTTAGCAGGTTCAACATCCTTCTTCAGGCTTCCCTTTTCAGATTCATCTAACAGAACATCTATTGTTTTTAAAAAAATTTATGTTAGTATATTTGAAAGTGTAATATTTATTGTGTAACAGAAAAGTATTATGATTACCTTGGCTCCTTGTAATTCTACCACTTGGCACAACAACAAGGCTTTTGTTTTTGTTTTTCCTTGCAACCATTTTGTATCTTGTTTTCATTTTGGTTGACTGATCACTTTTTTGTGATGATGGAGCTGTCTCCTCACTAAGTTTTGTGGAAACTTTATCATCATCTTGATCTAGAAGATAAGTTTCATCCTCAATTTGAACAAAATCAGGTGCAATTTGTGCTGCATATGAAATGATCAAATATAAAAGATTAAATAAACATTTATTAAATTGGATGACAAATGTTTACTATATACAATATAAATGAACATTTCAGGTAATGAATATGTACATTTTCCACTATTTACCTTTCGGATCTGTTGTCTTTGTAGACTCATCTTCCACTGTTTTCTCTTTAGGGATTTTCTCCTTTTCAGGCTCTTTTTTTCCCTCTTGTCCTTCTATGAAAATTTAATTAGTTAATATTTATATATTTTTTTAATCTTATTGAACATTCAATATTATGTAGATCCAATATGAACATTTTATGTAATAAAAATGTACATTTATAAATTTTTACCTTCTACATTTGTTGTCTTTGGAAAGACATCTTCCACAGTTTTGTCTTTAGGGCTTTTCTCTTTTTCAGTCCCTTTTTTTCCTTCTTGTACTTCTATTAAAATTTATTTAGTTAAAATTTAATTTTTTTAATCTTATTGAATATTTAATATTATGCTTTTCCAATATGAACATTTTTTGTAATAAAAATGTACATTTTAAAATTTTTACCTTTTTCCACAGTTTTCTCTTCTATTGGCCCTTTTTCTTTCTTTTTTGCTTCACCTTCAAAAGTAATAGTATTGTTAAAATTGATATTTATGACTATTAAACAAAAATATTCAATAAATATGATCATTTACCTTTCCTGATTTCCTTGCTTGCCTTTTCCATTCTTTTGAGATTTCTCATAATTCTGATTGTCGATTCTTTGTACTTTCTGTAAATGTATGATATTAACTTTGAAATATATTCATTAATTGATTAAATTAATTCAATTATTTAAATTTAAACATACTTTGGGTTTCTCTCTATGTCTAAATGTATTTCTTGCATCTTGTCCTTTAATGTTGTTATTCTTGAATCATCTTTGGGTTTTCTGATATTTCATTAAAAATATGTTTGAATTTACAATTTTGATTAGTAAATAAAAAAATGAACATATAACTTATATTACTATTGGCCATGAGCAAACTTTTTTGTACTGATTTTCAAATGAACATATAGTCTATCTAAATTGAACATTTAAGTTTTCTTACTTTTGGCCAAGACTATTCTTTACTGGATTGCTTTGCACTTTTGGTTGAACTTCTTCTTGCTTGCTGAAATCAATATTAAGAAATACTTTAAATAAAAAATGCACATAAATTGTACATAAAATATACTGTTATAAAAATGAACATTTGTTTATATAAAATTGATCATTAGTATACCTTTCATCCCTACTCTCTTTGTCAGTTGTGTTATGTGTAGCAGACACACTCTTAGTTGTTGCATT